GGGGTTAATTTGCGTTCTTGACGTGAAGTCTCACCGCGAAAATAACACCGGTCGGATTCGTGTGGACCGTTATTAGTCCGACAGATTAGCTCGTAGAACTATACGGTGTGGACACTCCCCCGTACTATATAGAGCCGTTCCTCTTCGGAGTGATAGTGTCGTAAAAAGTCTAAACCACTTGTTATAAACTCTCTTTCCAATAAAACACAATATATCTTTTACAAAATCTAAGAACTCAGTGAGTACTTTTTACCATCGTTTTATTTTTGTTTCCCAAACGTAACCATCATAAACAACAAGTCCTCACATAATATAATTCCCAAATGGTTTCAGATTAAAGGTGTTTAACACTCACCTTGTTAGGATGAGTTTCAAGAGGGAAAAAGACGAGAGACACAGACACAATCTTGAAAAAAATACACTTTTGATCGCGCGGAGGGACATTCCCGGCAAGACTACCCCCACTACAACGAACGGCACATCTGTCCGTACTGTGTCCGTATCGGTGGACCTATGACGTCCAAGTGGTTCCCGGTAGAGTCTTAATCAGGTCGGTTTATCTAAAGTGTCCTAATCTAGGAGGAAGAAAACTTACTCGAGTAGTCAGTAGACTGACGACGTTACTAACTAGGCTTTTTAATATGAGAACTAGAACCTAAAAATATTTCAGTTGGTGCTTCGTGAAGTAAAAGTTACAGTAAACCGTTGCAAAACATCCGGTTTTAGAGTCGTTTACACGGTCATTACTCACTAGTCACCATAAAAACTAAGTTTTGGGGTAGTCGAGCGCTTCCTCTCCCTGCCCCCTAATCCGGTGAAAATGTGTTACGCGGTAGTGCGTAGCTACACTCATTATCGGTTTACCCTTAACGATTCAGTATTCGACGAGAGTGAAGCCAATTTACACTAGGACGCAATTCCGTTACCTGCAGCAAGGAGGCAGCGCTACGCAGTGCACTTCGCTGCAGGCAAACAATACTGCGGCGTGTCGTAGCCAGACGTCGTCGGTTCTAGCTCACGTAGGCGACGCCGTAGCAGGTTAGCTCACTCGCTCATAGTGTCATTCCCACCGCCCGCTCACAGACTCTAAAGTGGCCTTCCTACAGACCTCAAGGAGCTAATAGCGAGGAGGCAATAGTGAGGGTCCAGGAGGCCCGTTTTTAGCTTCGGTCCAGCTGAAAAGTAAGGAGCGGCGGAGCAGGAGCCAAGCTGGTCTTCCCCCTAACAGACGGCGACGTCCAGCACTCACTGGACGCGCCCTCCCGCTAAAGCACGGCCTCTGGTCTCTAGCCTCCTCGCCTCCTCGACTATTACATCTCGCCTATTTGGCTTTGGTGGTCTGGTAGGAGGCTACTTTGAGGAGTCTATGAGCGTGCGGGGGAAGTGCACATAGCGAGTGACGTAACCTGCTACGTCGCGTACGTGACTAGACTACGAAGAATGTACTCTCGGTAAAGGGTCGCCTCACTTTTTTGTGTACTTAGGTAGTTCTCAGTGAAGGAGTCAATATGACACAAACAAAGTTAATTACATAGGTAAATGAATGTTTATAGACTATATAGACTTGCTGTCTACAGTTTTTAGTAAAATAGTAAATAACCTTTGTAAAAGTACTAGCGAAAAGCAAAATGTAAAAGTATAATAACAGTAACAGGTAAGGTAGTAGTAATATGAGAATTTTACAATTTACAGATGTATAGGTGTAGTTAGTTTGTTTTGAAGTCACACGTTAGGTTGCTACTTTACAATTAGATTGACCAATGAGCTATCTATTGTATAGCATAGAGAAAAAAAGACCGACTTAATAAATTAAGAATACAGTGAGTTAGTTATAATTAGTTGATACAAGCAAATATGTAAAATTCTTACGCAAAGAAAAACTCCTACCTCAAGAATAAATAAATAATATACCCAGATGCTTGTCTACCTATGTCTTAAAATACGTCATTTACACATGATGAACAGTTGGGAGGCCTAAAAACGCCCTCTGAGGGCTAAGTAAGGGAGCAGCGGCCGAAGGAGGGCCCAGTATAAGAGGGCGTAAGAGCTCAACACGATGTTCTTAGTCTCCAATGAGTCCCTGACAAAGCGTCGAGCCTGAATTACTGTCGATGTCGGTACTAAACGACCAAGCGTACCATTGCTGCAGAGAACTATCGCAGGCGTTTGACTTGAGACCTCTGCCGCACTCCGTCTAGTAGTATCATTTTGTCTTGTTTTTAGACGTTTGATGAGAAGATGAGAAGATGAGGAGGAAAGGGACGGGTGTTGCGAGGTAGTTCTGCCACGATGTCCGGCGTTCCGTCACGTAAGTCTTGATGTTATTCGTCATTCAATAGGATGCGAGCCCGTGGTGATGGTGGAGGGGGGGGGGAAAACGTAAAACTTTACAGGGCTAAGACTCAGAGTTCCAACCGTCATACCCGCCCACAAACACTATTTATTGCGCCCATCGTCTTCGACCGACGACGTGGCTAGTCCGACACGCCAAGCTCCCAGACCCGTCCCAGAAGGAGAAGGTAAGCAGATCAGATTTGTATGCACCCGCTCTGACGAGCGTACGTCCACTCAGGTTCGCTCTCGTGGACGGTAGTCTGTGTTACTACACTCCGAGGACCTCGAGAACTACACTCTGCTCCTTTCCTGGCAAGGGTACGAGATTTTGAGTAAAGGGAACGAAGACGCAGCAAAGGGAACGTAGAGAGGTACGAAGGGACCTACACTCACGCACTCGA